GGGGGGGGGGGGGGGGGGGGGGGTGTGCATGATGAATTCATCCGGCCTGTGAATACTTAGCAGCGCATGCATGTGAATACTTGCCGTCAAGAAAGATCTGAAAGCTGATATCCGATGTATTCTTCAAGAACCGTTTTTTGGCCCGGCGGCCGGTATGTCAGTTGATTCGGTGAGGGTGTCGGTGCCTTCCTGTGAGAGTCCAGTGAGTGGTGGTGCGTTGGGGTGGTTGCTTTCCCATGCAAGATCAGCGCCCCTGTGACGGGGATCACACTCAGCACCCGAGTGGGACGGCTGAGCGAAACACACTCTGACACTTGTATTCAGTGAACTCAATTCCCAGGTCGAAAATGGTGAGGGAACGGCATGGCGAGAAAGTCAGTTCACTTGAAGGTTGAACAACTGTTTGTGCGTGACTGCAGTGGTAAAACTCTCGCGCGTTCGGCTGCAACTCATGGGCGGCTGCGGTGGAAAAAACCTGTTTGTGGGAGGGTATCGTGAAGAAGAACCATGAAACCAACGAAACAGCGGCAGGGTGAACCAGTGGAGTCAGTGTGTTCAGCGCAGGTACGTCGGCAAGCGTCCTTGCCGATATCCTAGGAGCATGTGAGGAGCTTCGTTGGATGGAGCCTCACATGTCCTCTCCATCCCCCTGCCTATATCCGGTGGTTGTCCAAGGTAGTTGAAAAGCATGGAAAGAGTGGTGGTGGAAGACCCTTTGTCCAGGGGTGGACACACACACACATATATATATATGCATATTAATATATGTTTATAAGTATGTAATGCGTAAGTATGACACGCATGCTCGGTTTCAGCGGTCCACCCACCAACCAACCCCATGTTCATCCATCCACTCCCAGACAGTCCACACGGAATTCCAACATCAGCTCCCCGGAATCGGCCGGAGGCGAGGATCCCTTGGAGGCCTTCATGGCGCCTTGGCCGGGCGGATCACCCGGGCTTCCACAGAAACACTCGCGGAAGGTTGATGAAAACGCCGATGAGACCAAGCAATCAGGTTTTGGTGCAACCAATATAGGTAGATGGTTGTACCAGATCGATCCCCCTCTTCCTGGAACCGGGTGGACATCATTGGTCCTGGGTCCCGGACCCCGGACCTACCTGTTCTTTGTGACCCTTCCATGGTTGTAACATGGCATCTATGACCAAGCTGCCTTCATCCCTGCAATACTGATGATCTTGGTTCTAGACCATGGAGTCTCGCAGGCTTCGCAGAGAAAGAATGCCAGGCCTCCATTGATGCGGAGCTCCAGGGTCAAAAACCCAAGAAACGGCGACGCTGATGGTCTCGCCGGGCAGCGCTGGGCTGGAGAGGAAGGCCTTGTTCACGAACTGCCCCAGACTTTTGGCAGTGGAGTGTATCAAAGAGTGACGGGGTTTGCCGGACAGAAAAGCGAACATGAGTTGGATCACTAGATGGACTCTCGCATGGGTCCAATTATTGCACTGAGAAGAAAGTGGTTTGAGGGATTTATCAATTGTTAGGACTAGGATCAACTTTAACTTGTGAGGAAAAGCCGTGCCCTGTCAGCGATCTTATGATTTTCCAACAGGTCCTTAGGTATCTCCAGGCCACCAAACTGTTCCAAGACTGGGGGAACACAGGTAAACCTTGTAGAGGTGCAGATAGGTTCACTTAGCAACTTGGTAGAAAAAAAACAAGCCTCCAAAGGAGCTGTCTCGTTCTCATTGGCGCATTCAGAACAGGCGCATCATACATCTCAGCTCTTTGACGTTCGGGATGTACTTTGTGGTGTGCATTCTGACGCAGTTGGAGTCTGAAGGTGCAGGATCCCCAACATAGCCACGCCTGACTAGGACCAAGCTTCTTTCTTTTCTTGTCGGCTTTTTGAAAGCCACATTTAGTGGTTTCTAGCCTACAAATCTGACATAGAAGATATGATATATTATGATATGGAAGTTGGTCGAACATGTAAGCATGTGAGCCAGGATGCCGTCATGTTCTTATCCACAGCAACAGGCTAGCTATAATCCCATCCAAGGACTGGCGTGGCACAACATCTCATAATCAGATGCCAGAGTTGCCGGAATTTGCAGTTGAGTCATCGAAGCTGACGTGGACGAACTGGGCGATGAGATGCCGGTTTTTCTCAACCACCTGGTATGCCGGAAGAGGGGTCGCCCCCTTGAGCATCTGGAGCTGACTCCGGAGCTGACCAAGTGAGACGAGAAGCCAACTGGAATGATGTGACGCACACGGCCGGTGGAAAAAGGATGAACAAGTCCTTTTTTTGACGTTTTTTGCAAGAAAGATCCAGAAAGGAAAGGTTTAATAATTTGTTCAGAGAGGTCGAGGAACAGTAGAAACATGTAGAAACCTCATCAACGGAAGAGTGAGTGAGCTCAGAGTTTTGACGGGTATATGCACAAGTTGTTTTACTTGTTTTGTGTGTGTGAGTGCCAGGGCGCCCAACGCGTGTGCATTCATAGTCCTTGATAGGTTGCAGTAAGCGGTGTCCATTAAGCACCCTTGGGGGTTCTTGGTAGATGTTTGCATTTATTGAATCAACTTCACTTCAGCATTTACCGCATGTGCATCTCGAGCAGGTATCATGTTATGCTTTTTATCATGCACATACTGGTAGTTCCTACTCCCTCCCCATGGCAAGATTCAGGGGCTGTTTTGTAGTTTGGAGGGGGTAGCACTATATCACTATATCCTTTAAACATCCAATCCGATGCTTCCGTGTGGCTGAGGCCATTGGGCAACAAGTTCACGAGGCATTGATGCAGAAGTTGCTGGCGCAAAAAAGGACCGCTGTTACGCCGGATGAGGAGGGTTTGCTTGTGCATATTGAGAAGAATCAGGGGCAATCAGAGTGCAGATGCCATGAAATCCGCCTAGCAGATCTTTAGCAACCTCGAGCCAGGGCTGTAACCCGGAACTCGATTCAAATTCGGGGAACCTCAGGCATTGTCAGGCATACTATAGAGTGGAAGAACAGGTTGAAAAAGCCAGTTCAACAATAAATTCACAGCTGAGTTCTTCTTGCAAACCTCCACGGACTTTGACTTGTTCACTAGGAAGGATACATTTGGTCCAGCGGATGTTTTAACAAAGCTGTGGTGTTTTTTGGGATTCAATGAGTTTGCCTGGTCCACGGGCAGAACCGAACAGCACGCTACAACGCGTCGCTTTTTTCCGCTCCGAAGTCAGCCGATGTGATTTCGTCAGGCGGGCCGTCTTTGAGGATCAATCTTGAAGTGGTCCAACTGTGCCTGCCAGACTTCATGCCTACATTGACCCCCCAAACTACCCTAATAATTAGGAATATAGTATATGTATAGGTGAATATTCTATACATGGAGCTTGGATAAGGTCATATGAGATATGTGCCCCATTTGTTGCTTCACTGGCAGAAAACAGGCTGCTTCGTGACGCCTGAGGTGCTCCCCCGGCTTTTCGTGCCTTCCTCGCCGCTCGGAGTCATTAGAGTTGACCAGCTGAAGGCAGCTGCAAAGTATGAACTGGTTGACATTGATTACACTGCCCCGAAGTGGAAATGCACTGATGAGCTGTTGAAGGTGGACCCTTTGCATGTGAAATCCTCAAAACATGGTCTCAGGTGCGAGGAGGAGACGCACTCGGAGGTGGGCCAGGGCCGCCAGGTTGGGAATTCGACCAGATGGGCTTGATCTGCCCTCCATGCAACGAAAATGGTCCTGGAAAATGTGGAGGTCCCCATGATGTCCCCATATACCCCCTGCGTGTTTGGGCGAATCTGTTGAATGATTAAAGATGAATCACCAACCAGAAAGCAAACTTCCAGCAGAGGTTGAAGAACCCTATAGACTATCCTATAGGTACCCCTGTAGGGTCCTAGTTCAGGTCACTTGATCTCTGTTGGTTGTGCGTGGCTGGGTGGTTCCAGGCTCGGTTCCCGTGAACAGTGCTGGCTCCATGGGGTCGATCACAGCCTTGGAAGCCTCCTAAGGTGGAGAGAGAGAGAGGGGTTTGCAAGAATGGACCACAGATTCACAAAACAAGCTATTTATTCTTCTCTCTCTAGTCTACTCTATTAACATAGACCCCCCCCCAAAAAAAATGCAGGATTTACTAGACTTAGACCCCTCTCCAGCTGCAAAGACCAGGCCTTGCGCTTTGACATGGCCAGCGGAGCCCTTTACCTGGCGAATGCTCAGGCGCAGCACGACCGAGCCGGAGCGATTGCGGAAGAACGGTTGACGTTCCAAAGGCTCAGGTGTTCAGAAGGCTCAGGTGTGTGTAGAGCATGAAGTAGCTTGTCCAAGCCGTATTTTCCATGGAACTCTTAGAAAACGGTTTTCTTCTTTGAAGCTCAAGAAAGCTGAAAAAAGCAACACCCAGTGTATCCAATTGGTTGATTTCGATTGATCGCTCCGAATCTCCGAACGCGTTTGCGTGCGGTATTTTTAATACTTGGGCGGATTGCGCACTCCCGAAGATGAACATAGCCGTCCAGATCCATCCACGAAATTGGGATTTAAAGACAAGACATGTGTTCCAGATGGCTTCTACGATTGGGGAAGGGTCTCCATGGGAAAACTGAATTGACATCAGGGTGCAGCAAGAGAACCCCCAATACCTTCTGAAGGGAGCTTTGCAGCGCTTTGGACCATCAGGAGGGGCCTGTGCTTCGTCACTCAGTCGACCAGAGCTTCAGAATTCCGTGCGTTGCCGCACGTTCCACTCTAGGGCATTCCTTGGGTCCAAATACATCCCCCCCCTTAAAGTTCATTGAAGTAACATGGAAGTGGAGACTCACCTGTTGGGCATTTGCTCAAACCCCGCGGGCCAGGCCATCCATGTTGGCCCATGATGACTTCAGGGAGTGTAGATCCTGGGGGTTCAAGTCATTCCTTCGGATATCCGAGGACGTCAAGGAGTTGCTCTCGCTGCGGCCTCCAGGAGCGCGACCAGCGAAGATCCGCGAGCTGCGCGATGCACCACACGAAGGGAAGCAAGAAACGTAGGTTTTGGAGCGAAGTGGTCGGGCCTTTCCAGGTGATTGATGCTTCTCCCGCTGCCAGATGGTTGAAGATAGAACAATTTTGTTGAACCATATTAAACTGGATGAGAAGACATATGGACTTTGCACATGAAGCCTTCCCCTGACACACCTTTAGAATGTCAAACGCGAGGGCCCTTTCAGACGTAGCCGCCAATGACGGGGAAAAAGCATTGCAAAAATTGATCGAGCCCATTTAGAGTCCACACAAGCTTGCAGCATGGGGATGTCAATTATTGTAATTGGGGGTGCACTTACGGTAATTTACTTGTTCAAAAACACATATACATACTATTGGGATTGCTTGAGTCCTGCGGGGTTCTGCCAAGATGGGCTATATGGAGTAGTTGAAGAACTCATCGTATCTTCGATTGTAGACGTATTATCATTTTTTTGCATGGAATGTTGAGCACGCAAATGTAGGAAACTAATTGACATGTGTACATTTTTCTGCAATCAATAGTTTTGTTAGTGCTGATTGTGGGTGGTCATGAGTTTTGAGCAGTTGCTCAGTGATGCAACCTGACCAAATAGCATGCCAACATTGGCGTGGATTGTCCGGAAGATGGGGTCCGGGAAGACGATTTCCATGGTGTTTGTCACCCAGGTGTGGGCCAGGACAAATTTACTAGCTTATATGTTTAATGCATGTACGATCATGTCGTGCGTGATCTTGTTTCGGCCATCAGGTCAGGCCCCTCGGCCGGCCCATTCCAGAGAATGCGTGCGATGCCCTTGTTACGAACGTAGCTGAGTAGCTTCTTTTTACTAATGGAAATGCCAGGAGCTACGAACGTAGCTTCTTGCTCCGTTCGGTTCGCGATGCCGTTGTGGAACGACATCGATATCGCCCGGAAGTTGAAGAAACACAACACCTGTAGAGCTCATCGATGGTCTTCCCTTCCCCTCAATGTGCAACTTTGGGTCCAAGGTGTGCATCCCAAATCTCCAAGGAGGAGAGTTGGCTGGAGACTTCTTACCGGTCTTCTACCGTTGCTTTGCCCAGCTGCCATGCTTGGCACAAGGAGCACCACCTGGAGTTGTACATAGACATGCCCTTGAGCTGAGTCTTTTGACACGGCAGGCGTGTGGTGGAACGTGGTTTGCACACTGCTGTGGGTGGTTCGGCGGCTCGAACGGCCCAGCAGCGCTGCAGGGTTGGATCATGTCATTGGGCCGCATGTTTTCAGCATTCTTTGTTGGATGTGTTAGAGGTTAAATTACACAGTTTGTCGCAGGAACATTTGTTGGAGGTGTTGGAGGTTTTCCACAAAACATTGTCCCCCACGGATTCTACTTGGGTGGATTGTCACATGTTTCCTTGGCGAGGCACCCTCTTCGCCCAGCACGTCGCCCCCCTCGCCGCCACAAGAGGTGCACGTAGGGCCGCAGGGCCTGGGACGACACAGGGAGAATGACCAGGCTTGGGAATGACCCAAGTTCAGACCTTGATGGACTGAGTTTCCTCTGAGATTCTGAGTGGAATATGATCTTGGGAAGGGGCTGGGTAATGGGTCGGTAGGGGAGATTCGACTTCCTCATGGTATCCAGCAGGCTGATCTAATCGCCGATCGCCAACCAGAACGACATCCAACATAACTATACAGTATTTATTATGTATATATATAGACCTTCATTGCCAGTGGTTCTGACTGTTACTTAAACAAGATATTTTTCTTTGGCTCTTTCTTACCCATGAACTATGTACAGTACAGCTGAAATCGTCTTTGCAGTCCTTCAGACGAGGCCAGGCCAGGAGCCGAAACGCCGTTTTTCTCTCTCGCTCTACTTGCCTTGTGAGCCAGTGGGCACTTGGCTCTTGAGTTTTTCCTGCAGCCGTTGAGGCAGTCTGTGGCACCTGTGTTTTGTGTCGCGCGCTGACTTCTTCACAGACCACGACACAGAGACACTGCAGCTATCTTTGGATTTTGCTGCACAGTTCTTATTACGACTAGAGATGTGGATTCAATGAAGGACAAGGAAAAAACTCATATACACGTGACTTATATATATATATATGACTATTGGTGATTAGACATCACTATCATCATTAACTGCACACCCATTACCTTTGATCCTCTGAGTTGTCACAAGTAGCAAGTGGAGTTGATGAACTCGCTACAATGCTGCAGTCTCCCAGACTCTTTCAATAAACATCCACCTTTTTGGGGGATTCTTACCCGTTTCCATGTGTTTTCCTCCAGGCTTTTGGCTCCCAAGTGATTTTTGTTTAAACTTGTATAACTACTTGTATACTTTGCCCAAAAGTACTGTAATTATTGAGTTTTGAGTCGGGCAGAAAGGCACGGACCTCAGATTTCAACCTGTTTCAATCCAGTCAAGGACCTCAGATTTGCACGGCTAATCTGCCACCTTCGACTCCCAGTCTTTTTCCGAACTTCTCCAGGAGTCTCGGATTCGGACGTACGTACTTGGCTCATCCTTGGTTCCACATCGTACTCCGGGGAGACCATCAATCTTGTGCGACTTAGGTGTATATGGACAGTATGGGCTAGTCAGCTCCCAGTACAACCTACAGGGTCAGAACCATATACAATCCGCTTGAAGATGTTGCAGATTTCCTCCGCCAGACTAGCATGGTTTGGTTCCAAATAGTGGCCCCCTGACCAGACTGGGGTTCAAGATGAACCAAGTGTATCGATGTCATTCTTTAACTGGACCTTCCATAAATGTCCTTCAACATCCTTCAACCAATGCACCCATGGAATTTTGATGCTAAC